CGTGCAGAGTCTGAAGTCCGAAGCTATAGTTTTCTCGCACATCCTCGGCGAAGAGGGAAGCATCTTGCAACTGCTTCGGTGTGGCATTGCATACGAAGCAAGTCTGCGTGGATTTCACACCGGTGAGAGCGTTGACAACCTTCCCATCGACCATGGTACAGACCATTTGATGTTGCACGAAAATTTCTGCACCGTTAAGAAAAAACCTGGTAGGGATCAGAGCGTCGATCTGCGATTTCACTGAGGAATGCTCCTCCAAGATGCTCTCACGGGTTTCTTCGCGGAACACGAACTTTATGGGACGACAGAAGCGAGTGGATCCAGGCGCTGAAATCCGCCAGACGAGCGAGCCGGTTTGCGAGACGCGAATCTCCAAGGGGACGAAAGCGAACATAAATAGGCTCTTCTCATTCATATGGGGATTGCTGGACCTTTGTTTATACTGGCTGTGGCCGCCACTACCATCGCAACCCCACTTAGACAGCATAGTGAAGCTCCCGCATCCTGCGGTCAGAGCTTCCGTGAAGTCCGAGGGCTTGGTGCTGCAGAGCCTCTCACATGTCAAATCCAGTATAGCTTGAAGTCGGAGTTCAGCGCGGGTCTCATTAACGATCATGTGCTCGGCTGGCAAACAAGAAGCAGTTTTAGCTTCCATCGCCTTGTAGTGTGGCGGACAGAGGACGTGTCCCAACATTCTGGACTTTTTCCTAAGCCAAGAGTACCTACCCCGCGAGAGCTTACAGTCTATGAGTACCGCGAGGGCCTCTTCGGATGAAAGGCTCCTCGAATTCCTGCAGATTCCAGCTCTATAGCTGGAGGCAACAGAAGAAACCGATGATGCCGCTGACGATGGTCGTTCCAGCACATCTCTCACCGTCTGAGAGCCCTTGCGGTCGCCTGCTGAATGCAAGGAAAGATGTGTCGCATGTAGAAGTTGTTCCGTGTCATGCTGAAGCAAAGGTCGGACCCTACGTTTTTCGACTTTTCAGTCAACCCCCTGAAAGGTTTCGTCGGCCGACCGGGCCCCGTGACGATGTCGTGGCCTGCTCTCGATGCTTCATTTTTGATTTCGAGTTGGAAGGGGTCCATGTCCAACCAATCAGCATTGTCGCGTAAGAAGGCTTCTTTCTTCCGTTGACTTCTCTCAAACCTTCCAAATACTTCGGCGGTCTTTCGGCTAAGGCTGAGCTTCAATTCTCCTAAATTTTCAACGCTCGATCGATGCAAGTTTCCAGATGAGAGCAGAAAGTCGATCATGCCATCCGGTCTCATTCGTTTTCCGGCTTCGAAGCACTTTTCCACAAATTCTCTCCGGGTTACGGTAATAGTCTTGATCACCTCCATCGCCGTCACTTGTCGTCCTCCGCAAAGTCTCGATGCACAGTGAAGCTCAGCCCGAGAGCGCACAACGAAGAGCGATCCCGATGCACGTGGTTTCCTGCTTGACTTCCAACTTCCTACTGAAGTGGAGACCGCGCCAGCTTGCCCGTGAGTCAGACTCGGAACATCGTCTGCTGGCGCTCAAGAGATCGCTTTTCGGGAACGAGCTGTTGGATGTCGGATCGCCGAGATGACTCGCTTCGCCCCCGGATCGCGAGCACCGATCGGGATCCATATCCATGCTATTGTAAAAGAGGGAATCTCTCTCCACAATCGAAGCGGATCAAAGCCTGTAGCGAATTCTGCATCCCGGTATCTCCGCCTATGGTCACCACGAGCAGTAAAGAGAGGAAAAATATCTAAGACAGCCCAGGCCATCTCGTCTGAAGCATGCCCGGCTATAATTCGATGTCTCCGATGAAGACCTAAAATCAGCGAAAATTTGCCTTTTTTTTTTTTTAAAGCCCTTAGCGCAAAAATGCGCAGAAATTGGAGATGTGCTTCGAAAAGCGGAAGGCTTGAGGAGCTTTTAAAAAAAAAAAATCCTGGGGTAAGTCGGGGCAAAGGTGTTAAATGAGCAATTTAGGTTTTCGCCTGTTGTCGGCCACGGAAGAATTTTCCCTCGGTCGTATCGACACAAATCGCAACTCTTCGGGTCGGTGCGTCCTTGTGGGGGGTCATCCGTCCCTAATTTTCATCGTATCGGGCAGTCTGAACCATTCAAGTTTGAGATATGGGCGAAAAACGACCGAATAATTTTGTCCACCTAGAAATCGATTTTTGACCACTGTGCGGCGGTCGCGAAAATCTCTAAGCAAAAAAATGATTCTTCAACGCGGACCCTTGGCCCCCGATGAAGAAACCGGATCGAAACATCGAGAAACATCCGCGATCAGCCACTTCAAAGCGTTCTCGAATTTCCTGTGTAGCGGAACGGGCGACGCGCAGAGCCGCAGATCGTCAAACAAAGCCTCTAGTTCACTCGAGAATACGAGGCCTAGTAAACGACTCAGGGCGAGTGCTAGCATAAATATAGCGGCAGGCGAAGCTAAGGTTGTAAGTCTAGTAGTAGATCCCGATACTGTCCACGCCTGGTCGAAGGAAAATGCATTGGTATTTATTTATCCTCATTTAAGTTTCTTAAATGACACTTTCACTTCAGTGGCGAGTAATCTCAGCGGATATTGTTAGTTTCTTCCTCCCACCGCCCTTGTCCTCGATCCAGCCCCAGCACTCGTCGAAAAGAACTTCGAAGAACATCAGCCATCGCGCACATTCGCGCCGGCAGACTGTCGACAATAATCGAAAACGATACGGAAGATCAAGTGGTATTACCGAAGAACATGCACATCGGTAACGCATCACCGGTACTAGAAGAAAAGTTCATCGCCACCATCAGGAGGATAACGACGGCGAGTTCAGAACAGAAACCCGACTCCAGAACCATCGAGCATGCAAGTAGAGAGGTC